GAATTTGTGAGACCAAGGCCAGAGGAGAGGCAAAACATGACTCTCTCTCTGAGCTATCAGATACAGAGGTCCCTTTTATTTGATTTTGAGAGTGAGAATTCAGTGAAGAGCTTTCCATTGGCCTGGTCCAAAAAGGCAGGACCTGTGTAAGTGAGACTTGTAGGTTTTGGGAAGGAATTAGTAACAGAGATAAGGGGGCTTGTATTCAGTTAAAAGATACTGTCTCAAGGACAAGATATTGAAAGAGTCCTGTTATCAATGGGTCAAAATACTGGTGTTAATAATTATGGGCGTGACTCACCCATTACAGAGATCCTATACTGGGGACAGGATGATTTTTGTTATCAAATGGGCCAAAATGGCCAGTTAATAATGTCTGTGGGTGTCACTCACCCCAGACCCTCGAGAAGAAATTTTAGAAACAGGAAAAAAGTCAGATTTCGGTCCTCAATAGTTTATAGCATACTATATATTTAAAATTTGTAAATATAATAGACTTTGTGTATGAAACAAACAATTTTTTTTGATATAAATAGAACAGCAGAGGGCAGCAAGTAGTGTGGTGGTTAAGGTGCTGGACTCTCACATGACTGACCACAGTTCAAGTCCTGTACGTGGTGGCTTGAAAATCATGCTGGGTGTGTGTGAGTGTGTGCCCAAAATCTCTGGAGGAGAAAGGAGAAGAAGGGATTGCAGTGTGGCCATCCCTGCTGGGGAGCGATTTCTCACTTTCCCTTTCACTCTTTCTCTGGCACGCACCTATACTCTAAAGAGAAAAAAGGAAAAAAAAAAAAAAAAAGAAAAAAAAAAAAACTAAAAGCATAACATAATTTTCCGCCATAAACTTTTTTCACAACTTAAATATTATAAAAACACAGACTATTTAAATGAGTCAATGTGTCTTTGGCACAAGTTTTACTGTATGAATGTAAAACATGTATTTAACTTAATTATAAACAGTAAAACATGAATTTAACTTATAATAGCCATATACGTAAAGACTGTTTCTTTTTCTTTTATTTTTTTTCTTTTTGAAGACAGGGTCTTATTGTGTTGATTTTCCTGCCTCGGCCTCCTCCTAAATTGCTGGGACCACAGTCTTGTGCCATCATATCTGGCTCTCTGAGCAGGTTCTTGCTATATTGCCTACCAGCTTTAAGTTTGCAATCCTCTTGCCTCAGTCCCCCCAAACTGCTGAGATTACAGGCACACACCATGATGCTGGGCTTTTAGGTTAGCCCAGGAACCAAACCAGGCCTCCCATGTAGTCCCACCCAGCGGAGTAGATGGTCTTAGCAGTGAGCAATGTTTTGGCCTCTTCTTTCTGAATGTTACAGATGTTACTCTGGAAATTACTGATAAAGTAACAGTGAGGAAACTTTTCATATTGATTTTTATAGATGAAAGATCTCGACAATATTTAAACATTTTTTAGAGTCTGTAAAAGTCTAATGATGTTATTTGAAGTTTTTCTTTGACAAATATTTTAGTGAGTAGCTGCAATTAATAAAGTAAAAGTCCTTTTTATTCATGCTTACTATGTTCTAGTCTAATAGGCATAAAAATAACAAGTGTATCAATAGATATGTATAGTTTTTCACATTGTGATAAGGTCTTATGGAATAAAGGCATGAGAAGGATAGAGAATTCCATAGTTCACAGGTATTGAAAATATCCGTTTCTTTTCTTTTCGTAATTGTCAGAGGCCATGTGTACTTGCCAGAGATGGGAAGACAGAGAGTGAGAGAGGGAGAAAGCACCCTCAATGAGGTGTGGTCATGCTGCAAATCCCTTCCCCTCCATTTCTCCATCCTGTCAGTACTATGGGCATAAACATGAGCATTCACCTGGCGTGGTTTTCAAGCTACTGGCCTGGGGTTTGAACCATGGTCAGCCATATAGGATCCAGCTCTTTTAAACAGTAGACTACGGGGTCAGGCTCCCCCGTCCCACCCTGATCAAAATTCACATATTATAGTTGTACATGTTTATGAGGTACAGTGTGATATTTCAACACATGCATGAGGAGGTGTAATGTTCAAGTCAGGGCAATAAACATATTTACCATCTCAAACATTCATTACTGGTTTGTGCTGTAAATATTCAAAATCTTGTCTTCTACCTATTTTGTTACATTGAATTGTCACTAACTAGCTAATCTACTGTTACAGTGTTTTAGAACTCATTCCACTTACATACTTGCCTTGCACTCTTGTATCTGTTAACCAAGTTCTCCTTATTTCTGCTTGCCCACTTCTTCCCAGCTTTAGGTATTTACCATTTTGCTTTCCACTTCTATGAGATCAAAGCTTTTAGCTTCCACTAGTGAATGAGAACGTATGACATTTCTCTCTGTGTATGGCTTCTTTCACTTAGAATTATTTCCTCCAGACTTATCCATGTTACAAATGACAAGGTTTCTTCCTTTTTATGGCTGCATAAAATTCCATTGTGTGTGTGTGTGTATACGTATGAATATACTTTATCCATATCCACTCAGCTTTTGGAGACTTAGTTTTCCATGTTGTGAATAGCGCTGCAATAAACATACAAATGTAGGTATCTCTTCGATACACTGATTTCCTTTCCATTTGGGTGTATACCCAGTAGTGGGATTACTTGACTATAGATTCTGTTTTCAGTATTTGAGGAGTGCCATACTGTCCTACATAATGGCTATACTAAATTGCATTCTGACAAACAGTGCATGAGTTCTCCTTTCTCTACAAACTCACCAGCACCTATTTTTCTTTTTTAATAACCATTTTAACTAGGGTGAAATAAACTAATACAATCTGAGTATAAAATGGGAAATTGATCATTTCTTTTTTTGTTTTCATACCAGATACTGGCTTATAGAATAGTATAATGGTTAGGGCAGCTGGATCCCAAATAGCCAACAGTGTGGTTTAAATTCTGGACATCGCAGCTTAAGGAACATAATGGGCACATGTGCATGCATGTTCCAAATCCCCAAAATAGGAAAATAGAGAAAGGACTGCAGTATTATTCCCTATAGGGAGGGGGAGTTGCTTTCTGCTCTCCTCCTCTCTGTCTCTGGGGAGCTCAATGTGCCCTCAGGGAAAAAATTTTCTTGAAAACCACCAATCAGGGGAACCAAAATCTACTAAGAAAAAAACTAATAAATTTACTAGTGATTCTTCTTTCTAGGTGGAACACCTAGAGATCTTTTATTTTTATTTATTTATTTTTATTTTCTTGGAGAGGTTTTTGCTATAGGGCACTTGCGCTCACCTGAAGACAGAGAAAGAGAGAGAGAGAGACAGAAAGCCAGAAGTCACCCCCCAGGGGGGATGGCCACACTGTAATCCCTTCTCCTCCATTCTCCTCTCAGGATCTTCAGCATGCATACACACATGCCTGGCATAAGTTTAAGCCACTGGGTCCAAGACTCAAACTGCGGCTGACTACATGGGAGTCCAGTGACATAGCCATTATGCCAACTGCTGGTCCCTATTTTTTTTTTAAGAGATATTTTTGCTTTAGGATGCATGCACTTGCTAGAAAGACAGAGGAACTAAAAGCAAGAAATCACCTGCCAAGGGGATGGCCATGCTGTAATCCCTTCTCCATTTTCCTCTCTGATCTTGGGCACGCACACACACATGCCCAATGTGAGTTTTAAGCCACTGGGTCCAGAACTCAAACTGCTGTTGACTACGTGGAAGTCTAGAGACATAACCATTACTGCATCTGCTGGTCCCCACATCTTTATTTTTAAATTATTTTTCCCTATATTCTCCATCGAAGTCCTGATCATGCTACTTGATTCAAGATTTTAAAAGTAGTAAAACATGAACTCTAAGCTGATAAACTTAAACAAGTGTTGATTAAAACAAAACAAGATTTAAGCTCAGTTCAAATTTAAAAGTTTTGAATTAAAAAAATCTTCGCGTTGTCAATTCCTTTAAAAAATATACATTCAGGGGACCAGCAGGTGGCATGGTGGTTAAGGCGCTGGATACTCCCACATGGCAGACCATGGTTCAAGTCATGACCTAGTGGCTTATTTTCTCACTTTCCTTCTCTCTTTCTCTCACTGGATACATAAAAGTAAATGAATGAATAAATAAAATTAAATAAATAATTCTTTAAAGAATCAACAAATATTTGGTAAGTGTGGAAGGAGACAAGGAGAAATGATGAAATAATTGCTGGGCATTCAAAAAGGTAAAATTAGGGGATTAAAAAAATGCTCAAATAGTTTTCTAAGGAAAAGATCAGAATGAGGAAAAGAATACAGGAAAGAACTATTTTCAAGCAACTGCACACCTCTCAATTTGGCTTGGACACAGAGGGCAGTAGTAAGAATAAACGAGGGCCAGCAGTGGGGGTGTGGCATGCTCTGTGACCCTGTACCTGCACGGGAAATCCTGGGTTTAAGAAAGAGGTAAGACGATAAACATAGGCTGTATTCATGTAGCAAGATTCTCAATACTGGAATAAAAGACTGAGAACATTTTTTTTTTTTTCCCAGTAAAGAAATAGGAGTAAGAACAACAGAGATTTCAAGAATGAGAGAATCCAGAGGTATTACAGACACAGACCTGACAGAATTTGATAGCCTATTAGAAGGAAAGTGGATGAAAGAGACATCGCAGATGACGGTGGGGTTCAGGTAAGGATGATAAGGACTTAAAGCTAGAGGACTTTCAATACCTACACTGGTTTATTTCTCTTGCGGGCATCTCATTAGCATAAGTGAGATACTTGATGGATACCAATGTTATTTTTCATGCTAAAAGTTTTAAACTTTTATTTTGTCATACACAATTACAAGAGTACCAGTTACAAGGGAATTTAAGAAATAACATTCTGGGACATTTTTGTTCATTTGCTACTATCTTAAGCATGTTTTGTTACATGAACAGCAATAACAGTTACAATTACAGAACTGTTCAATTTATAAATCTAATAAAAGTATGTCATGATGAGGCCACTGCATAATATAAACAAAAAGTAAGTGCTTAAACATATGCTCACATTTTATATTATTCTTTATTCTGTAATTAGAAGGAAGGGTCAGCGTCTAGTAATGTTACCATTCAAGTTTCTGACCAAGAAGGTCAAATGAGTATTTCAAATCATTTTCAGAAATATTTTAGTTCTAAAAGAAAATATAAGACAAAATACACAAGGCTTGGCTTGTTGATATTTTATGCCTAAAACCAACCATTACATAAACACATTCTTAAAACTTGGTATTTGTCCCATCTCACACAATCAGTAGAAGATGAAGAGTACTTAGAACACTTAAAATCACCCAACAACAGCTGATACAGCATCTCCCAGATTTCTAGTTTCTAAAACTCTGGGGGAAGTGGAATAATTTGAACTGTAACAGTCTACACAGTAGTAATATTACCTTTTGGCCATTGGCCCAATACGAATCCTTTTTTAGTATACAAAATATGCTGAAAACATTTCTCTTAAACACATTTCAATTAATGTAATTAAACAGAAGGCAAGAAATTCCTTCTAGAAGAGTTAAATTTAGCTATGAAAAACTTGCCATAGACTTGGTAAATATGTTACGGAACATTTTTAGAGTTAAATACAGACCATACTCTCTTCTTCAACTTAGAGCCTGTGCTAAGCATGTGCAAAAAGACCTATAAACATATCAAATCAGTTTCAAAAAATGGAAACTGCCATTTTTACCTCTAGAGTGACTTTATTTCACTTGGTTTTATCTAAGGATAAATTTTGATGTTCCATTGTGAAATCTGTATTTTAAGCACAAAATATACAAATGTTCCAATCAGAAATTCCAGCTGACAAGTGAAAATTTTTACTTTGAAATAAGGAGATGTGGACATATATATTTTTGATCAAAACACATCACAAATAGATTGTTTCAATGTGAAAATAATTTTTTAAAGAAATAATATTTAACCGTCTTTTTTACCCCACCATCTTAAACATAGTATTTTTTTCCTTAAAATAGTTTAAGATAAACATCTCATTTAAAATCTGATTTTACAAAAGAGGAAGAAACAAAACTAATTTCTCTTATATGTACTTGAGCTAAGTAGTTGCTATTTCCAGATGTTGTAGGCTAAAAATCATTACCTGATGACATTTGGTACATAACCTCTGCTTAACAAGTAACTCGGAATTCAGTTCATATTGCTTATCTAAGTAGATTGTTAGGTTATTTGTAAATTTAAAAATTTACATCTTTAAAAAAATTTACATCTTTTAAAAAGTACCTAACTGAAACTATTTTCTTGAATAACATAGTCATTATATAGAGAACTGTTTGTTTCAAGAATTTTAAAAAGGAAACAAATGAAATGGGAGTGGGAGAGACCTGGGGACATGTCCTCCAATTTAATACCCAGAACAACACTGTGACAGTAAGGCTAAGAACCACAAAGGACTCACTAAGCTAAAGCTTCAAGTCTCGTAATATGTTACTTTTGTGTTCTGACAGTCACTTCCTACCTATTTCAACAATACACTGGGTCATTTTCAATCTATAAATCGGAAGATCAGAGATGAGTGAAACTTTGTCAGGATCGTTTTTAAAGAGCAAATAATTACCTCATTGGTCTAAACAAGCAAAGGCATAGAAAAACTGCACACAAATAAAAGTAGTCATTGAAATGTTATATACTGTAGTAAAGATGTTCATTTAGTACTTTCAAGCAATTTACCTGGTATTTAAGGTTTTTCTACTGCTTTTATTTCAAATCTCAACACACTGCCTCTTACTGATAAATAATTTACTCTTGACAATACATCAGTCTTATTTATTGGAATGATCAAAGCACAGTAATTTTTTTCTTTTTACGATGGTAAAAGCATTTGTGTGCATGAGGAGGCAAGCTAGAAAGTACTCTTGACAGGATCTCGTCATGCCACAAGTCTCCTTCCCCAGTCCTCCAGCTCTTTAGGATGTGGGTATCTGCATGCACACCTGGGTGTATTTCCAGGCTCACCTGAGATCTAAGTGGCAATCCCCGACTGCTTTCGGCACTGCAGGGCCCTAGTGTTACTAGTGTGCCACAGAGGTTGGGCCAGAGTACCAAATATCAACCATAAGATGAAGTACAGATTATGCTGTAAAATATTCATTCTCCATTTAAAAGGTATTTCAATATCTACTTACAGCTACCCAAATCTTAGTTCATTGGTATTGTTTTGATTATCAACTATGTGAATAATTCTTATAATTTTTAAGCATACAGACTTGAATCAGCAGGGTTTTCCAATGGATATTTTAAATGATAGAGCACAGTTATGAGAGACAAACTTCAACTCAACTATTTACTGCATGTATTACCTGTAGCAAGTCCCTTAACTTCTCCATGCCTCTCTTCCCTCTCATAAAGATTGAAGATCCTGTCACCCTCCTTTGTCTGACTGGTAGGACTGTGCAAACTTAGGTAAGAACAACAAATGAAAGAGCTGTGAAAGGGCCATATACAAAACAACACAGAGGCTTGTTACAGTATTGGATTTGGTAAAAATGACCAATCTACCAGAGTGTAATTTGAGAGAAAGTGATGAAATGTCAAGGAAAAAAATGGTGTGACAATTTAACCATGTCTTCTGGACAAGGTCTGAGAGCAGCTGAAAAAAACTTACCGATGCCTATTGAATCATGTGGGAAACCAACCACACTGGACTTTGACCTACGAAAAGCTAAAAGCTACCTTCATTCTTTCCAGATTTCTTTTTTTTTTTTTTTTTTTTATGGCTATATGTCTGCTTCACCTGAATTAATTTTTTGTAGTTTTACCAATATATATAGCCTGTTTTGTAAGCAGGCTTACTATGGCAATTATTATATCATCAGGAAAGTCATGACATATTTTTCTGCTTTTCTATGCAAAATTGTATCATGACTTTCCCAACAACCCAATATTGACCTTCCTCTGAAAGTAGTCATAAGCAATCTACTTTTCTCCTACTAGCTTCTTTTTTATATTTTTTTTCTGACTCCAACTTCACTGAAACTAGATCTAATAAAAGGTCTTAATTTAAAAGTTAAGAAAAGAGATTCAAAATTAAGTCACTAAAAGCAAATGTTTTCCTCTACCTCCTTGCCTATCTAGGAAATATTATTTATTTTTAAGTAAAAAGATCTACAAAACAACAGAAAAGTCTGATTAATTTACACTATGCAATTTTTCAAAGTTAAAAGACACAAACCAAAAAGATAAATAAGGATTGATTTTTGTATGAGGCATAGCTGAAACATGATTTTGAAGAAACAAATAGCAATTCTGAAGTAAGAGAACAGAATTGGGATCAAAACAGAAAGAATACCATTTCTTGATGTGACATGTCGTTATTAAAATACCCTTTCTCTATTTCATCACGAGAGGTGCAATTAGATAAGTGACTGCTCAAGTATAGAAAAACAGACTTCAAAATCCTACTGAAGGTATTAGTGACTTTTGAAGTCATGGTATTTTAGAAATTTTGAAGCAAAAGGAAATATAGGTCATATACAGACAACAGGTCCTGTCAACATGAGGGAATGATGAAAAATGAAATGAGGATGATTTGAAAAACATGAACATAATCAATGTTAAGAGAAGTGTGCAGTTACAGGGAGAGTGGGAGCAGTCAGAAAACTTAATAGAAAAGAAACCAAGATAAAAAACTGGGCTAGATTAGAGAGTCAATAATGACTTCAAAGGGGGTGGTTTGGGTTTAACAATAAGGGTGGCTTAGTCAGAAATGGATTAAGGAAAGGCTAAGTGGTAAAACAAGGGGGGAAAAAAAGCACAGTTCATCATTTATAATGTTCACCCAGGAAAATTAGGAAAAAATGAAAGTTAAGGTTCAAAAGCAAAATTAAATAATTTTAAAAAGTTTATTTTATAGTTGAGAGAGTCAGAATGGTAAAGAAGCTATTTCAGACTTAAGTTAGGCACTTGAGGGTAAGGAAGGGAAACCTGATTTCTGTCACTAAGGAATAGAAGAAATTAACCTCAACCCACTTACTTTTTTGGTATCATACTCAGTTCCTATGTTTAGTGGTATGTATTTAAAAGGAACTCAGAACATGGTAAGTGAAAATGAAAAAGATCAAATAAAAAATAGTATTGAAAATATAGAACAGCAAAGTGAAGAAGTCAACCGTTTATACTTGGAAACTAGGTTGTCAGTAAAGTCATGATGCGTTTTTTACATAGAAAAATACATTGTGACTTTTCTGACAATCTAATATTCTAAGTAAAATTAAAACAAAAAGTAGAAAACTTTAAAAATGTACCTTCTAGAGGCACCATATTTATGTCATGTGCAAAGCAATGAAATTTTAGAACCTTAATACAGATTTTATTTTAATATAGCCACCATCATTTAATGGCAAGATTTCCTGAATAACTGCTATTAATGAGATAACTTCCTTCTCTAATACATTCCTAATATGAACAACTGAGTACATAATAATGTCAAAAGTGTCTACACCATTCTTTAGTACGAAAAGCAACATAAAAGTGGAATATCATATTTTATTTTAAATCTTTTTTATGCCAGATCCAAAATATAATTGGAACCTATTCACATTCTATAGATTTCTGAAATTTTTTCCTATTTTATTTAGATGAGCAACTTGCTTTGATTTTGAATCTGTACCACTTTATTTGACATTTATTAAAGCTGTATAAAAGCCATGCAGTTTATTTACAATATTATACATTAAATGACTATGTTTGAATGTCACATAAAAATTTCATGAAACTATCACTATTAATAATATAGAAAGACATGTGGAACACATTATTTAGTGACTTTTACAAATTTTAGGTACAGAATTCTGCAAAGATTATTTTGGTAAGTGTTATGCAATCACTAGCTTGAAATAAGACTCAAAAACATGCAAATGAATAGAATTTCAACAAATGAGCTACAAACATTTAGCTAAAAGCTAAAATATTGTTAGTTGAAACAATACAATGTAACAATGAAATTTATAAAAAAGAAAAAAAGGTTATTCTTGAAAAGTCTTCCATGAATAATAGGCTCTCAATAATTTCCTATAAAAACATTCAGAAATGAAGTTTCTCAAAGTATGTTTGTCACCAAAATTATGATTTCAGTAGTGATTACAGCTATGACTGTTAAATAATTATTTACTATACTACTGGGAAGTCTGTTTTCCCTTTGGGGAGAGGTGGATGTCAGTAAGTTTATATTCAAATAAAAGATCCTGGGACAAATATATCATTAACACAGGGTTAAAGAGCTGCAATAAGTGCAAGTCCACCTACTTTTAACTGTACTATTAAAACAGTAGTGCAAACTTTAGGATTGCTCAATTTAAGATCACCTATTTGGAAGCAGTTCCTCTTTTAAGAGTTCAAAAAATATCAATAGGTTTCTTCTCCAGATGCATCTACTTTAGTTTTTACTGTTGTGGCTGAAGTACATTGAGATATTCGGACTGCCCCAACTGATAGGTGGTGTTCCTTCCACAGTCGACATACTGGTATCTCTCTTGGGATATCTGTTCAGAGTGGCCAAAGTATGTTGTTGTCACAGTAACTCTAAAAATAAAAGAATGAGAAGAAGGGTTTAATTGTTATATTAAAAGTTTTCTCTACACTGCTGGTAGGATTGTAAATTAGTCCAGCCACTATGGAGAACAATATGGAGATTCCTCAAAGATCTACACATAGAACTACCATGTGATCCAGCAATCCCACTCCTTGGTATCTACCCAAAGGACAGAAGAATCAATGCGGCGTTATTCACAATTGCTAAGACATGGAACCAATCCAAATGCCCACATACAGAAGAATGGATTGAAAAACTGTGGCTATATACTCTATGGAATACTACTCGTCCATATAAAAACAAGACGAGCCTGACTTTTGAAAGAAAGTGGATGGATATGGAAGATTTACTGCTGAGTGAAACAAGCCAGGCTACGAAGGAGAGAAATTGTATGTCTCTACTTAATAAATACGACTGTCCACATTCAATAGCCAAAACTGAATGACTGGAGGATATAGAGACACAGAAAATGGTTATAAATACCAGGTACGGTGTGGGAAGAGGGTAGGTAAAGGAGGAGAGTCTGAGGAAGGACGTTAAGAAGAAAAATAGAGAGGCAAAGCATAATGGGACAAAAAAATGGGTTATTATGTATTGAAGATAATGTGTATAATATTTTCAACTGGATTGGTGAAAAATGTATACATGTTGGAACATTCACTTTGCAAGCTAAGTGACATGTGATTGAATGTATAAAAGAAATTGAAATAAAAAAAAGTTTTCTCCTCCTTATTCCTCCTGGGATTTTAGGCACACACAAACATGTGATGGCATGACTTTCAAGCTGTCAGGTCCAGGACTCAAACCACAGTCAAGTCATGTGGAAGTCAAGTGCCTTAACCGCTACGTACCTGCGGACCCCTTAAAAATTGTCTATAGTGATAATAATACAAGTTTCTCAAAGGTGAAATTATTTGTTTAAAGATAGCTTAACACTTTAGGCAAGGACTCTTAAGTACTTCCCTAACAAAACAAGAATGCTAGTAGTGGAGGTGGCATGGTGGTGAAGGTGCTTGACTCCCACATGGGTGACTGCGGGTCAAGTGCTGGACTTGGCAGCTTGCTTTCTCACTTTTCCTTTTTCTCTCTGTCTCTCTCTAGTCAAATTAAAGTATTAATAATAATAAAATTAAATAATTCTTTACAAAAATGCTAGTAGCTGTGCAAGTCCTATCCAAATAATTATACACAGTAAGTTTTTTAAAAAAATTTCTTAAGTTAAAAATATAAAAAGTTCATTACATGCTTAAAAATAATCATACATTTCTCTCATCATAGGAAAAGGGTAAATCCAATGTCAGCTAATGGACAAAATACCAAATAAATAAACAATATTTTATAGGCTTAGATAATATTCCAGTTATAAATCAGAAACATTTCTTCTCCTCATTACAGTTAATGATTATTTCCCAACATAGGAAGGAATTGGATGCTGGGCTCAGTAGTCTCTATCCCAACCTCTGCTATTTTTCTAGCTTGTTATGCCCCAATTCACTATTTAACCGCCAGGTATCCCTTCAATACTTTTCTGTGCAACCATTTCCTAAAGTGTAAAATGGGATAATATTTAACTGTTTTCTTATTTTTAAAAATTTTTTTCTATAATTATTTAACTTTATTTATCTATTCATTTATATTAATTTCACAAGAGAGGGACATGCACTCACCAGAAAGAGAGAGAGAGAGAGAGAGCGAAAATGAGAAAGCAAGTCACCAGGTCCTGGACTGGAACCGTGGTCGGTCATGTGGGAGTCCAGCGTCCTTAACCACCACACCACCTACTGGCCCCAAGGGATAATATTTATTTGACTTCACAGCATTTTTGTAAGACTTAACACCCAATTGAGATGTCACTTGTAGGAAAGATGTGGTGTACACTATCAGCCAATGTTATAAATCTAAAATCTCAACAAGAAATATTTTTAAAAATAATTCCGACTTACTGCATCATGAGTACTATGTTATGCACTTTGATGGATATCAATGTACAGAAGTCACTGTAAAAGAAATTAATATATGAATAAATACAAGTATTACAATATAAATTTTAAATTCTCACGTTAAAGTTTAATAGGTACACTATGAAAATTACAATAAACAAACATTTATTGGTTGAACATTTTCTATATATCAAATAATGATTGCCATATTCATGACTTCTTATTCTAAACATTTATATGCTTTCATACCACTGCAGCTATAGAGTTAATATGGTCTACACACTACTTAGAAATTTTGCTCACCTTTTGAAATTTTAGTAACCAGTCAGTTTACCTAGAAATACTATATCCATGTTTATATGAAAGACTAATAAAACATTATATTTTTGTTTAGAATTTAGCATTTAAGAACTTTAGAATTTCAAACCAGAGTATTATACATTATTAGCATTTTTAGTTCTCCTATACTAAAACATCAACAAATACATGAATTTGTATAAGAATTTGTTTCATATAATATAGTATCTAACAATAAAATAACACAGTACAAATCATCTTAATTATAAAAATATAAAAAATTAAAAGTCAAATTTTCTGTGAATAGATATATGTACGTAAATGTTAAGTATACTGAGAAAGGAAGAAGAGAGATGATTATGGGCCAGAAGGTATATTCCAAAATGTGTCCTTTCTGACTGGTAAGATTATAGACATTAAAAAGAAAAAAACTTCTTTATATTTTATTCCACTTTATTATTTAATAATAGTTGTTATAAATCAGAACTTACTACATATAACTCATTTCCTCTGCTATAACAGTAGGAACTGTGTAATCAATCTGAAAAACAAAAAAAGAAAAAAATGAATAGAAAATAGAATAAAATATTTCAGCTAAATCAAATATTTCAGATACACTTCATAATTTCAACAAGTTATAACCATCTCTCTTTATGTAAGCTTGATTCTAAGATTTCTTCTAATACATATGTGGGACACATTTCAGAATCAAGTTATTTTATTTTCTCTGAGAGAGATTTTTGTTATAGGGTGCATGCACTTGATGGAGAGACAGAGAAAGACAGAAAGAGAAAGACCACCCCTCATAGGGGATGGCCACGTTGCAATCCCTTCTCCTCCATTCTCCTCTTGGGATTTTGGGCACACATGCACCCATGCCCAGCATGAGTTTTAAGCTGCAGGGTCCAGGACTCAAACAGTGGTTGACTATGTGGGAGTCTAGTGACAACCATTATGCCATCTGCTAGTCCCTCAAAATCAAATTTTTGAAGCAATCCCCACATGCCTGAATTTATATTATATATAGAGTTGAGACTCAATGAACACTTGCTAAGTATTTCATGACTAAGGCTTACTTGTTTCATATCAAGTGGACCAATATTGGTTATGTTGTTTAGGCGAGCTTTTCCAATAACTGTTTTTGAAAACTGAACTTGAGCAGTGATGTTTTCGACTTCAACAGAGTAATAGTTATTGTTCGTTATATTTAGTGTATTCTGTAAAAGAAATTCATAAAATGTACACATTATTTGAAAATATTCATATAAATGTATACTCAAAATTAATAAAGACATAAACAAAAATGACTTCAGATATGGCTATGCTTTATTCATTAGAAGGAAGAAAATTACTACCAAAAACATCAAAGAATATTAAATGAGCAGATTACTTGGTTTTGTGCATGAGCACTATGAATATAATATGCCGATATTACATTCCCCCACACAAAATAGATCAGTAAATGTATACTGCAGAGATACAGAAAAATATTAGAAACCAGGTAGGCTTTATTCCATGGATGTAAGGGTGGTTCAACAAACACAAAACCATAAATGTAATACACCATATTAACCGAAAGGAAAATAAAAACCACATGATAATTTCAATCGATGCAGAAAAAGCATTTTACGAAATACAACATCCTTCATGAAGACTCTCAGTAAAATCGGCATAGAAAGATTGTTTCTCAGCACATACGAAAAACCTATAGGTAACATTATACTGAATGGTACAAGACAAGGCTGCCACTTTCTCCACTCCTATTTAACATAGTACTGGAAGTTCTAGTCAATGCAATCAGAGAAGGGAATGAAATAAAAGGCACTCCAAAAGGGAAAGAAGAGCTGAAATTATCTCTGTTTGCAGATGACATGATTGTATACACAGAAGACCCAATAGTATTCATGAAGAAACTTCTCGAAGTAATAAATGCATACAGTAAAGTGGCAGGATAGAAAAGTAACTTAAGATCTTTAGCATTTCTACATACAAACAACAAGCAAACAGAGACAGAACTGAAGAAAGTAATCCCATTTACCATAGCCACAAAAAAATATGATACCTAGGAATAAAACTAACCAAGAAAGTTAGAGACCTGTATAAGGAAAACTGAAAATATTAAAAAAAGAAATCAAAAAGGACACAAAAAAGTGGGAAGACATCCCATGTTCCTGGATTGGGAGAATTAATATAATCAAAATGGCAATCCTACCCAAATTATAATGATGGAACATATAAATAATAAATAATACTGATAGAAAAAAGAAAATGTATTTATTTTAATTAGCAAAAGTTCAATAAAATAATTTTTAAAGGTATATGTGATAGAGTATGTGCACTTGCCAGAGACACAGAGACAGGGAAAGTGAACAATCACCCCCCCTCAGGGGATGGCCATGCCACAATCCCTTCTCCTTTCAGGATTCTGGGTATGCATACATACGTGCCTGGTGTGTTTTTCAAGCTGCTGGGTCTGGGTCTGGGACTGTGGGCTAGTCCCTTAACTAGCCCATGTGGATCTGGTGCCTTAACCACCACACCACCTGCTGGCCCATCGATAAAAATAATTTTGAAATTCACTTAAATTCTAATAGTTCTTTATATATCTCTACAAATCATACTAGTAAGCTATTTATTATTCTATTAAATAGAATGATGACCATTTAGAATGTTAGACGGTAGTTAAAACATTTTTATTTAAAGTAAACTGGCATTTTAACATATACTAGTAGGGATATATATATATACATATATAGAACATATACAAGTCACTGGGGAGAATGGGATAGATTCAAGTATGTTTGTTTGGACAGATTTTTAGTTGTATCACTCTAAACTTAAGTAACGGCTGGAGACAGTTTCTGATTTATAATTCACAACAACTATCTCAGAGTTCTTTAAAAAACAATCAATGAAAATAAAAAAGAATATAAGAAATAAGAGGCAATAAAATGTCTAAAAATGTCATTATATGGAGTATGACTATATATAAGCTAATATAAATTTGGAGAAATATATATAAATAAGCAATATGGTATGAGTGGAAAGAAGAGAATATGGTCTTGGTAAAAGAAGTGCTAGACATCAGCAATAGTATGAACACATTCATAAATTCATTTAAATGATCATAGTTATAAATGTCAAGAAAAAACTTTAAATGTCCTAACAGTAGAAATAACTTTTATCAAAATTCATAAACGTTTTCTTTATTTGGCTCTTAACATTGATGTCAATTTCATTTCTATACACAATGTTAATTTGTTTGTTAATGTGAAGTGAACAGATAATTCTGAAGCAGTCTAAAGATGGGATTCAGAAGAATCTTGTTTTGCGTATAGATAATCACATTAGTATCTTTTCTGACATGTCTATAACTTTCATTAGAATATTAAAGGAATTGGGCCAGCAGGTAGCGTGGTGGTTAAGGCACTGTACTCCCACATGGCTGACACTGGTTCAAGGCCTGGACCTGGAGGCTTGAAAATCATGCTGTGCATGTGTGCCTAAAATCCCAGGTAGGGAATGAAGAAGGGACTGCAGCATGGCCATCCCCCTGGGGGGTGATTTCTTGCTTTCTGTCTGTCTCTCTCTGTCTTCCTGGAGAGTGCATATCCCCTATAGGAAAAAAAAAAATTTCAAAAAATTTACTTAAGTGATAGAATTCTAAAATGTGGAAATTCCAACATGATTATTTTAAAATAATTTCTTGATTTAATTAAGTGGCAGTATTCCAAAATGAAGGAATTCCTATATAATTATTTTAAATAAAGTATGATGCTCACATTTAAATATACTCTTTTTGGTATTTAAAAAGAAATGTCACTTTTTAATTATTTATTATTACATATTCATAGTATTTGATACTAAAACAGGTTTTGGATGTTGGTCAAAAAAATCTGGCCACTGTTTCAATGCCATACAAAAAGGAAAATACGTTCTCTGTTCCATGGGGCTGCTGAAGTGGGAAAATATTCAACAATTATTTTCTGTTCATATGAAACTACTTCTGATTATTATTGTGTTACGAATGAATAATGCATACATGTATGTTTCCACAGAGCTTTAAAAAAGAAAGCCTCAGGTAGACAGTTTTTGACAGTAAGCAATGAGAGAAAATGATGAATGGGAGCGAGCTCTTTCTTTTTTTTCTTTTTCTGTAATTAGTAGCAATTTCAGTTTAACATATCATTCCCTTCTTCCAAGATTCTCTCCTCTCACCCATCACCATAGATAACTCCACCCCAACCTGAACTATACCAACCACTTCTGCAAGGAAAACCAAGTCCAGTATCACGTTTCCAAACAGATCACCGCCACACACATACACCTCAGGGCACACAGCCTCTACCAATGGCACGATCAATATATTTATATCTTCCCCTGCTCTATCACAATGGGTTGGAAATGATGCTTTTTTAAAATTGTTAACATGTAAAACAAGTGGAAGACCTTCTATGAGGTTTTTGTTTGTTTTCAGGAGTGGGGAAGTAGCATAGTCCTTCTGAAAAACAATGTCATGGGAAACTCAGGACATTATCACATGGGCTAGTTTACAACAGAGAAATCAGTCACTTATAAACTTCATCTTTAAACACAATAAAGGAATGCTCTGTTACACATGGTAAAGATCGTACTTTACAAAATATAAGGAAATGAAAATGTTCCATTTATAACTTCAATCTTCTTATTCTTTTAGTTTGCCAAAGGACGTACATGCACACTGGACGAGAGAGAGGGAAAGTGAAAAAAGTGACCTTGTGACAGGGTCACCCCACAAACCCTTCTCCTCCATTTCTCCCTCCTTTTAGAATTTTGGGCACATCCAGTGTTTCTCTCAAGGTGCCAGGTCCAAACTTTGAACAGTGTGACTGGTCATGTGGGATCCAGATGCCTTAACATCACGTCACAGGCTGGCCTGAATTAACTGTGCTAACAGCCCAATAAGAGTTGGCTATGTGGGATCCAGTGCCTTAATCTCTTGCTGGCCACCTACTGGCCCCAAAGTAATAAATATTAAAAAGTAAATTGATTATAATACTTGTTTTCTTTGCCAGTCATTAATTTTTTTACCCTCCTAAAGAAATCTTCAAATAGTAAATAATTCCTTATACACACGATTTCCAGTATGTATTTCTAATTTGCCATTTTCAGCCAAACTAGAAATCGTAGAGAAGGTCAATTCCGAAAAGACATATAGCAAACAGACTAACTGGTGTCACATTTAACAAATATCCTCTTATCAGGGACAAAGGTGGTGGATAACAGGATAAAGTCAAACATCTTTAATATAAATTCGTACTTACTGTGATATTTAAATATATTGTATGCTTTTGAACATCATAACTGACATATGCTGATTTTACGCCAATGTACTTCACATCGATAGAGCGAGGGAAAAGGAAAAATACAGCCAATCCAGAAAGGAGCAGACAGACAAACACAGAAGCCATCACATACAGCTTTCTGAAAAAAAAAAAAAAAAAAAAAGGGGATGTATTTAAATATATGTGCAACCAAAAGTTACATAACGCAACATTCAGAGAAGGCATTTTCAATTTATATTTATCCACTATGTATTACACCAGAAAGAAAATGTTTTAATGTTAGCAAATTTTCACATAATAAAAACATTGTAAGGTTGAATCCAAATCTATTAAGTGTTAAAATACTGTTCTTAAAAGATGAATTCGCCTTTTTGGAGACTGGGAATGTGATGTGAAATAGGACATTTATTGTAATGATTCCAAACCAGATTTCGGAGCTTTATACAAATGTAGGTTTCAAGACTGCCTTGTGAATTAATTGAAGTGGAATTTTCACATGGTTTTGCCATTATGTGACTCCTATCAGAATCACCTGTGAAGCTCTTAAAAATAATGACAAAACCACACAGCTCATTATCAGTCTCATCAATTACAATCAATACTTTGAGTCTCCTTATCCAAAAGCATTTATGTAATCAGTTTTTATAATATTGTTTCAGTAAATTCTGCTTAAAGATGTTATTATAATGTTTCTTAAAATCAAGGAGAGATAATGTTATGCAGGTATAAGACAAAGACAAACTTACATACCTTTGTTGCTCTTCTAATTCTCCTAAAATGTACCTTTTCATTTATTTCTTTCTTTTCATTCTCCATAAAGGAAAACTTCATGTTTTCAAGATTACCCTCTAACTAGTTTTACGAATCTTTAATATTTCCTGATCTCTCCAACTTATATACCTCTGCTAAAAGTCCATAGGATTCTTTTAAAAAAATTTTTTTCCCTGTCTTGGATGTCACTTTTTTCATCGTTTGCTTATAATCTATTCACTCAAAAACTCTCATTTTATCCTTTAAAAGTTTCCACTTTGGGGTCAGTAGGTGACCAGCAAGAGATTAAGGCACTGGAGCCTACATAGCCAACTGCAGTTTGAGTCCTGGACTGAGTGGCCTGAAAATCACACTGGACGTGTGTGTGTGTGTGTGTACACGCGTGGGCACGTGTGCCCAAAATCCTGAGAGGAAAAGAGATTACTACATGGCCATCTTGAGGGTGATTTCTCATTTTCCCTTTTTCTCTTTTGCTCTCTCTCTCACCTGTGAGCACATATAACCTATAGCAAACTAAATTAAAAAAAATATTGCGGTTCTCTTTGTCATTTAGAGCACATCTTACTAGACATAGATAGTTAAAATTCAATGTTTTAAAGTCACATGAAGCAATTATTTCAGTTATTTATGTTACCAATTTGAAATATTTAGATTTGTTTCAATTTTCAGTTAATTAATTAATTAATTAAAGAGCGTTTTTTTGCTATAGGGCATTTGCACTCACCAGAGAGACAACAGACAGAAATGAGAAATCACCTCCCCCAGGGTGATGGCCATGCCTCAATCCCTTCTCCATTCTTCTCTCGGGATTTTGGGCTCACATACACATGCGCCCAGTGTGAGTTTTAGGCCTCTGGGTCCAGGACTCAAACTGCAGTTGACTATATGGGAGGACAGTGATGTAACCATTACACCATCTACTGGTCCCTTTAATTTTTTATATTCTATAAAAATAAATAAAAAATAAATTCAGAGAAGGCATTTTCAATTTATATTTATCCACTATGTATTACACCAGAAAGAAAATGTTTTAATGTTAGCAAATTTTCACATAATAAAAACATTGTAAGGTTGAATCCAAATCTATTAAGTGTTAAAATACTGTTCTTAAAAGATGAATTCGCCTTTTTGGAGACTGGGAATGTGATGTGAAATAGGACATTTATTGTAATGATTCCAAACCAGATTTCGGAGCTTTATACAAATGTAGGTTTCAAGACTGCCTTGTGAATTAATTGAAGTGGAATTTTCACATGGTTTTGCCATTATGTGACTCCTATCAGAATCACCTGTGAAGCTCTTAAAAATAATGACAAAACCACACAGCTCATTATCAGTCTCATCAATTACAATCAATACTTTGAGTCTCCTTATCCAAAAGCATTTACGTAATCAGTTTTTATAATATTGTTTCAGTAAATTCTGCTTAAAGATGTTATTATAATGTTTCTTAAAATCAAGGAGAGATAATGTTATGCAGGTATAAGACAAAGACAAACTTACATACCTTTGTTGCTCTTCTAATTCTCCTAAAATGTACCTTTTCATTTATTTCTTTCTTTTCATTCTCCATAAAGGAAAACTTCATGTTTTCAAGATTACCCTCTAACTAGTTTTACGAATCTTTAATATTTCCTGATCTCTCCAACTTATATACCTCTGCTAAAAGTCCATAGGATTCTTTTAAAAAAATTTTTTTCCCTGTCTTGGATGTCACTTTTTTCATCGTTTGCTTATAATCTATTCACTCAAAAACTCTCATTTTATCCTTTAAAAGTTTCCACTTTGGGGTCAGTAGGTGACCAGCAAGAGATTAAGGCACTGGAGCCTACATAGCCAACTGCAGTTTGAGTCCTGGACTGAGTGGCCTGAAAATCACACTGGACGTGTGTGTGTGTGTGTGTACACGCGTGGGCACGTGTGCCCAAAATCCTGAGAGGAAAAGAGATTACTACATGGCCATCTTGAGGGTGATTTCTCATTTTCCCTTTTTCTCTTTTGCTCTCTCTCTCACCTGTGAGCACATATAACCTATAGCAAACTAAATTAAAAAAAATATTGCGGTTCTCTTTGTCATTTAGAGCACATCTTACTAGACATAGATAGTTAAAATTCAATGTTTTAAAGTCACATGAAGCAATTATTTCAGTTATTTATGTTACCAATTTGAAATATTTAGATTTGTTTCAATTTTCAGTTAATTAATTAATTAATTAAAGAGCGTTTTTTTGCTATAGGGCATTTGCACTCACCAGAGAGACAACAGACAGAAATGAGAAATCACCTCCCCCAGGGTGATGGCCATGCCTCAATCCCTTCTCCATTCTTCTCTCGGGATTTTGGGCTCACATACACATGCGCCCAGTGTGAGTTTTAGGCCTCTGGGTCCAGGACTCAAACTGCAGTTGACTATATGGGAGGACAGTGATGTAACCATTACACCATCTACTGGTCCCTTTAATTTTTTATATTCTATAAAAATAAATAAAAAATAAAGTACAGGGTTCGGAAGTTCACACATCTCACTTGCTTACCTGTTTTCTTTTCCAAATTCTCTAACTATGAGGGAATCTAATTTTCCAATGTCATTTATAACATTTGACAATGATCTTTAGAATAAAATTGTCAAAGTACAGTTCCTGACCCAAAGAGTAAATGCATATGTAATTTTGCTAGATAATGCCACATTTCCCTTCATAGCAAGGCATGAGTATGCTTGTTTTCACTCAGCACTGCTAACAAAATATGCTGTTAAATTAAGGATTTTTGCTGATAGGAATAGTATTTCACTGTAGTTTAAACATGCATGTTGTTTATGAGCAGACTGAACATATTTTCATATACTTAAAGGTCACTTGCATTTCTTTGTTGTGAATTTTTTAGTGAACCAGCTGTTCACAGCTCCTATTCTTTCATGATTTAGAAGTTGGCCTTTTTCTTCTCAGAATTTGAAGCTCTATATGGAGAAAGAATACTGCGCTTCTGTGTTGTAATTTGTAGATAACTGCTTTCCATTTGAATCCTGATTTTGACTGAGATTTTGTTGCAATTTTCAATTAAGGTTTTGCTTTCATTTGGTTCTCATCTTTATACTGTCTTATTGATTATTCTTTTTCTTTTTTTTTTAAAATCACTTCTGGATTTTAAATCGCAGTTTGAAATTTTCCCAAGAATCACTTCAAATTTCTTACATTATTCACATCTGTCCACACATTTTATACTAAAGGTTAAGACTGTTTATAAAATATTTGGCTCATTTATTTCCATGATTGCTAAATATTTTGTTCTACTGCTTATTTGTTTGATGAATTATGGGTAAGTGCCATGCCAATCTAACTTTCTGTCTCATAAATTAATTGATCCTTTTGACTGAGTGTTCAAAGGAATTCTGTATTTATTTAACCTTCCAAGTACAGACACGAGGTATGTGTCTTTTCAATACATAGGTTTACATCTTTTACTTCGGGGAAATATTCCTGAATTAAATGTTTAGTATTTATTTAGTTCTACTCTTTTTATTTTCTTCATTGGGGGCTCTAATTTCACGCATGTTCAACTTCCTTTGTCTTCTATGTGTAATTTTATCTCATATTATTTTCATTAATGTGTGTGTGTATTTCCTCCAATTTATCCTCTATTTCTTTTACTGTACTTTTCATGGGATCTATTTACAGTTTTTCTTCCACTTTTGCTTACATTTTTTTCCCTAATTTTCCCCCAGGGGTCTCTAGAATCTTTTTTCACATTTTCCTATTGTTCAGTTTTCTTATTTCTGAGCTTTTCAATTTCTGACTTATGCTCTTTTGTCATAGCTTCTGCAGTTTTCTGGATTTCATTAAGAATATTTTATAATATTGTTAATGTTTCCATCTGCTTTTCTGATATGCTTTTATCATTTGTCAACATTTTGCTTTACTTTTCTTTTTTTAAAAAAAATCTGCATATGTTCAGTTGTAATCCCTTCCTGTTACTTATGTTTAATTGAGAAGAGTTTTATAGTTTTTAAAAAAATTTTTGTCAGAGTATACATGCATTTAGCAGAGAGAGAAACAGAGAGAAAAAGAGAGAGAGGAGGAAGTGAGAAAGTGGCCCTTATGGGAAATGGTCCCACTACAATCCCTTCTCCTCCATTTCTCCCTCCTTTTGGTATTTTGGGTATGCATGCACACATGCCCAGTGTGCTTCTCAAGCCACCAGGATGAGGACTCAAAGAGTACAGTTAGCCATGTGGGATATAGCTGCCTTAACCACTATGCCATGGACTATCCCAAGTTTCTGTATTTAAGAAAAGATTCCATTTTGGGTGATGGGGATGGGCCAGTGTTGCTTTCCTAACTTCATAACTCAGATCTCCAATAGCCTCTAAGTATATTAAACTCTATAGTTCTGAGATTATTTCCCTGTTATTTGAACCTTTTCTCCCCTTTAATATTGATTCTGGTCCTGTGTAAATTAAATTCTATCCCAATAGCTTTTTTCCTTAAGATGTGTATCAGTTCTTTTGCAAGACATTTGTTGAGTTATTTAGGTGTTTATGATGGTCTAGTTCCTTTTATCTTCTCAAAACCTCTTAGATGGATCTCTTTTTGTGTTCTCTCGAAAGTAAAGCACGTAGACTTCCCATTTAGGTTACTTTCAGAGGTATTTGCTAGGAGTCTTCTGAGTGGGATCCTTTTCTTCTGAGACAGATTATTTGTTTTGTGTATAGGGCCTTAGGACCCTTAGGAACGCCCTGTTAGTTTCCTTTCATAACCTTCATGCAGCTGATAAGCATGTGAGGTTCCTGCAGTCATCATGGTTTGAACATAATTTTTTATTTTATTTTATATAGGGTAGGTGCACTTGGTGGAGAGAGATGGTAATAGGGAGGTTAGAGAGCCCCCCACCAGGGTGGTGGCCATACTCTAGTTCTTTCTCTCCCACCAACCCCTTGGGATTTGGGGCATATACTCAGGTGTGTCTAAAGTGTTTTCTAAGCCCTACATATAAGACTCGAACCACATAGTCAGCCATGTGGGATCCAACAACCACACCACTAGTTGGCCCTGAATACCCATTGCTAATCTGGGATTGATTAGCACATCATCACACATTTGTGATGAAAATATGTGTATGTGTGTCATGTGTATGTGTGTGAGTGTGTCCTACTGCTATTCTAGATGTGTCAATTTCACTAACTAGAGAAGATTCGTACACCAAGTTGCTTTTAAGATGATACCCTAACTGGGAATTCTTTTGTGTATTTTTTTAATAATAACAAATGTATAATGGCATAATCTAATAACTGGGTAGTACTTTTCCTTTTACTAATTTTAACTAGAATAAGTATTTATAAATAATTTGAAGAGAAAAAAATGCAAATAAAAGAAAAAAAGACTGCTCTTCTTTTATAATCACTTACGTTCTCCTTGGCCTTAATCTCTGGTCACTATATGGAATCAATGCCACCAGTTGGTTTTCTTGCCCTAAAAGTGAAATAAGTAAGAAGCAAAATTTATTAACATGATTAGTTAACAATATGGTAGCTTCCTATCACAATCTTGTTTGGAAAGACCAGAATACTACTTTATTCTCAACTCATTCCCTTAGTAAATTGCTGTCAAAGTCTTCAAAAATTATATAGACGTTAAGTTCTAGAGCAGATGCTAGTTTTTTTATACCTAAATGTCTAGCTATTTAAAAATAACATAAATGAGGACTTCATTACTTTTTATTCCACTCTAAAAAACATCTAAAAGTTTCCAGCTTTATCAGATGATCTAAATTTACCAGGCCTTCCTTCAACTCCACAATTTTCCATTGACTATGACTGTTTATCTAAAGGACAGCAGAAGAAACCCAGTGCTATTTCCCTGTCCTGAAATCTTTGTAACTACAGTTTTTATACTGTCTCCCTAGAAAACCAAAACTAAGATAATATTCAAAAAATGGCAAGAGAGAAATATGAAGTTACTTAAAAAAGTTACCCCATTAGACTAATATCAGACCTCTCAACTAAAACAATGAAGGCAAGGAAAGAATGGGAAGACACATTTAAAATGCTGAAAGAATTTGCTAAACCTTAACTAGCTCTTCTGGAAATACTTAAGGAATGCTACACCAGGAAAATTAAAGGGAGATACATAGAAGAGAACACAAAACAACTGAAAAAAGGATAAGTCCACACATTTCAATAATAACACTGAATGTCAGGATTAAATTTCCTAACTAAAAGGCTAAAAATGAGAATTCAACTATTCTATACACAAGCAGGTTTAAGTACCAATTCACCACTTATTTGACAGACAATTATCTTTGTAGGTTTCAATTTATAGATTTTTTTTTTCTTGGAGAGGTTTTCGCTATAGGGCGTGTACACTCGCCAGACAGACAGAGAGAGACACAGAGACAGAAAGCAAGAAATCACCCCCCAGGGGGGATGGTCACGCTGCAACCCTTCTCCTCCATTCTCCTCTTGGGATCGTGGGCTCGCACAAACATGCGCCTGGCATTGAGTTTTAAGCCACCGGGTCCGGGACGTGAACCGCGGTCGACTATGTGGGAGTCCAGCGACATAGCCATTACGCTAACTGCTGGTTCCTGATTTATAGATTTGTTATAACCATTACTCACTGTACAAAACTAGGTAATAGGAAAAGTCCAAAATGTTACAAATAGCTGAGTCTTTCTTTGAAATGAATTTAAAGAAGGTTAAAATCAAGCATGTAGTAAAACTGATAAACTGCCAAATCACTGACTTTACTATGTCTTCTCATTTAAATATCTCTTTACATTTTTGTCTTGTTTTTGCTTTTTTGAGGACTTATTTTTTTAAAGCACAGCACAGTACTATGGGCTTACAAGAACTCACAGTGTGTGAGTAAAAGTTTTCTCTCTTCCTAATGAGCCATTGAAATGTGTAATTTTACCTATCTCTAACCTGACCAATGATAACACAGATCTTTTCAGAGTAGAAACTCCTATTTCCCACAGTTCTCTCTGGAAATTCTTCTTTCACTGGATGTTCAGATTTTCTTTGTTTTCAAAAATCCACCCTCCTTAATTCATGAGACTTTTTGTTGTCTGATTTTTTAATTGATGTTTCTTTAGCACTGTATTTCACACGAAAGAACATTATAGACAATTTAGGGCATTTCTCCAGAATAACCAGTAGAGCAGGTTTTAAATGTTCACACCATAATGTAATACTAAATGTTGAAGGTAATGAGTATGTTTTAGCCTCAATTTGTTTATTATACACTGTATACATGCTTTTAAAGACCATTCTGTACCCTACAAAGACGTGTAATCATTATATATATAAATAATTAAAAATCCCTCTTCTGATTTCAAAACCCCCTAGTTACCACCTATTTTCTCTCCTTTTCTATACAGCAAAACTCCTCTAAAAGGCTATTTTTTCTTTATATAACTTCACTCCTCTATGCGTTCTTCATCCCACTCTACACGCTACACACACACACACACATATATATATATAAATTTATTATTTAACTGTATTTATTAATTCATTTATTTTAATTTGACCAGAGAAGGACAGAGAGAGGAAAAGTGAGAAAGCAAGCCACCAGGTCCAGGACTTGAACCACAGTTGGCTGTGTGGGAGTCCAGCATCCTTAACCTCTACACTGTGACCTGCTAGCCTCATGCTACACATACTTTTGCAAATGACCAAAAGTGTTCTTTCACATAACCAAATCTAATGATCAGTTCTCATTCCTCATATTATTGCTCTATCAGTAGTATCTAACAGGTGATAACTCTTACCATAACACACTTTCTTCACTTACCTTTTAAGACCCTAGACACAAGGATTTCTGTTTCCTACTCGAGCTACTATTTTTCAATGTCCTTTGCTAATTCTCTCTTATGTCACTGGCTTCAACATGCTGCAGTATCCCAGGCTGAGTGCTGGGGTCTCTTTTTTTTATCTATACTGAAGACCTCAGTGCTCTCATCCAGCTCAATGTATCATCAACATATTGATGATTCCAGGTTATGCTCATATTTGAATTCTAGACCCTTATAATAAACTGCCTGACAAACATATCTACATCAATGTCAAATAGGCATCTCAGAACATTCATGTCTAAAATTGAGCTCCTGAGCTTTCCTCTGGCATACACACACACACACACACACACACACACACGCAAACTCAAATCTTTTCTCCACTTCAATAAATTGCCACTCTATTCTTTCATTTAGTCAAATGAAAAAAAGTTTGGAATCATTCTTTTCTTTTAAGAGATTTTTGTCATACGGCACATATGCTCGCCAGAGAGACAGAGACAGAAATTGAGAAATCATCCCTGAGGGGAGATGGCCATGCTGTAATTCCTTCTCCTCTATTATCTTCTTGGGATTTTGGGTATGCATGCCACATACCTGGCATGAGTTTCAAGCCTCTGGGTCAGGGATTCAAACCACATTTGGCCTATTATGAGTCCAGTGACATAACCACTGTACCATCTGCTGGTCCCTGGAGTCATTCTTGATTTCTTACTTTGTATATTCCAACCTGGCTGTCAAAAAGCTGGTAAGCCATATTTAAAAAATATAACCAGTCTGCTAAAATAGTAATATTTGTTGTTGTTGTTAAACTTGGTGCATTAATCCTTTCAACTACAATTCTATGATTTCAAAAGCTACTATTCTTGCAAAAATAAAACCATTATAGTCAAGGGCCAACTCCAACCCAAAGCAGTTCTCAGAGACTCTGGTTTATTTTATATTATCACTTTTTCCATCAGGGTCTCGCCAAGGTCACAGATCAACTTTTATGGAGAGACTGAAAACAGCATGAGGTATCTTTATTATTTCTACTTATGCCACTGCCATTAAAGTAGCCTATAAATGGCACACAGGGGATTATTTCGTTCTGATGTCCCTGTGATATTCCATGAACTATTGTTTTCTTTTAGTTCATCTTTACATACCATCGCTCTTTATGGAGTTTTCTGTTTTTGTTTTTAAAAAATAATAAATTAGGGCATGATAGCTTATTATTCTTTAGATAATGAGCTAAAAATATATTGTCAAATTACTTAAGTTGCTTCTAACATCCAATGTCACATAGTGACTGTGATATGATCTCTATAGGTACCAAATAAAAGTTTTCAGCATGCGCTTCTGCAGCAACAGGGCAGTAAAGAAAACAGACTTGAGTAGTAAGTTGTTTTTCTAGGAACCATAAATAGCATTTCTATGTTTGAGTGTTTTTGACCAAAGAATACTGATAAGAATCTTTAACTTCAATTCTAAGAGTCTTTTAAAACAGGTTTTTTAAAAATTTTTTAGACCAATGGGTTTGATAACATCATTCTTTAATGGAAAAACTATGCAACAACACATACCCCTGGGAATTCTTCCTGTTCCTTGACAAGTGGGGCAAGTGACGCTATCTCTTCCTGTAAATTCCACATATGGAAACTGAGAAACATCTCCATTTCTCCCATCTTCATTATGGACTTCATTATTAACTAATCCATTTCTCATATTTTCAGTTGATGTGATTCCATCATAAGCATCTTCTTTATTCGAATGCAAAGGCAAATGAGAAAGAGACTTTCCCATGTCTAAAGAAAAAGAAAAATCTTACAATGTACTTCAGGAAAAGCATACATTCAAGAATCCTATGGAATATTTATTGTTAAGACTCTAGAGGATATCTATAGTAATCTAATTATTGGGTCATTGGAAAAGTCATGACATTTTTTTCTGTGTTTTTCCATGCCCTGTTCCTTGACAAGTGGGGCAAGTGACGCTATCTCTTCCTGTAAATTCCACATATGGAAACTGAGAAACATCTCCATTTCTCCCATCTTCATTATGGACTTCATTATTAACTAATCCATTTCTCATATTTTCAGTTGATGTGATTCCATCATAAGCATCTTCTTTATTCGAATGCAAAGGCAAATGAGAAAGAGACTTTCCCATGTCTAAAGAAAAAGAAAAATCTTACAATGTACTTCAGGAAAAGCATACATTCAAGAATCCTATGGAATATTTATTGTTAAGACTCTAGAGGATATCTATAGTAATCTAATTATTGGGTCATTGGAAAAGTCATGACATTTTTTTCTGTGTTTTTCCATGCAAAAATGCATCATGACTTTTCCAATGAACCATCAATTTGGAACAAACTTGAAGAGAGTGTTTGAACTACTTTTTGGGTTAGAAAGTATACAATCACAATAATTTCTGTAATAAAGGAGCCGTTTACTAGAGTCTAAAAGTAGTTTTCTGACAAAATATTATGAAATAACATTTTATCATGTTTTTGATGAGACTGGGCCCCCAAACAACATTGATATTTAACAAATGTCTGTACCTTCTGAGGACTCTCTGAAAAGAAACATACAGATTTCTTTTTTCTCAGACTTAAAAATTTATTCTACCTTTAAGCCAGTTGCACTAAAAGCAAAAAGTTGCTTTGGAAAAACAGTAACTAAATTTTAGGTGTATCATTGGATAATTTCAAGTTAATACTTTGTAGCCTTTAAATGCACACCCCTTTGTGATAAGCCCACAATCCTTCCCATCCTCACTTCCATCCTTAGATCTCTTGATTAAATATTTAGACATTTGCAACAACAACCCTCAAAAACTCCAAACCATGCAGATTTTTCTTTAATTTGATAGCTGGCATAATTAAAACAATGAAGTTAATATTTAAAAATATTAAATGTAATTTACCAATACAAAGCAAGCAAATTTGAACATAACATTCCAAATTTTAGAATAACAGTATCAGAATAACATGTGGGGGAAATTATATATAAATTTAAAAGACAAATAAGCATATGTAATTGATACTAGTATTCATACAAAAATGAACTCTGCAGGTAGGTAACGAATTAACATTGCAGTAAGGGCAAAAAGAACTAAAAAAATCATGTGATCCAACCTGCTGATCTTTGAGCAAACTAAAAGGTGAAAGCAAAACTTAAAATATAATTCCACATCAGTTTTAAAAAGATATATTCAAACAGGCATTTCTTCTATAAATTCTCATTTATCGGAGTTAGTAAAGCAGACTCTAAATTCAATTCATAGTATATGGTGAAGAAATAACTGCTTTTAAAATTGGCAAGTCATTTGTTTGTTGCAGTTATTTAAACATAGTGTAAAAAGCAGGATAAAAAAGCTATACAACTGTACACAGACATAAAATTGTAGAACACGGAATAAAAATGTTCTTTTCACGATTAAATCTAAGTACCCATTTCCTACATAAATTCAAAAACATAAATGATTTAAGACTTCTAAGGAAGTATTAACTTCTTTTGATTTGCCTCAATAATAGTAAACTTGATCCAAACTGACACTTGCCACACACAGGTGGTTTGAAGGATGAATTCACATCACTGTCCCTACATAGTGATCTTGGGGGCCTATGTGGTATATTACAATAATGGGGGACAGTGGTCTCTGCAGCAGTGTCCCAGAGGCACCCTTTCTGGACTCTGTCAACACAGCAGCTGTAAGGTGTAGCCAACTGGAAGGCCTTGAGGGAAACGCTCAGGACGAAGCTAAGTGGCTCTCAGTCCTGGGCTGTTTTCTAATCTAATCCAAAAGCTGCCTTCATTAATTCTGCTTTAGCAGGTGTTCAGTCAAACCCATGAACAATCAACGGACTTTGTTAGGTGCTGGGAATCCCTGTCTTCCCTACTAGATTTTCTCCGAAGCAGTGCCAAGTTTAACCACTTTTATTCTCGGAGAGGTCTTGGTTTAAAAAGAGTTGCTAGACCCCTTTCTCCTTCCTGTGCTCAATGATGTTTATCACAGTCTCTTAACTTACTGAAAACACACCGCAGATCTCAGATTCAGTCTGAGGGGTGGGGGAGGTTCAGTATTTCATCCAATTTAAATGGGCCGTGATCTTCTGTGCAGACACTGGGGTAAATTCTGGAAGAGCTTGGGAACCAGGGGAAGAGCTCCTTTCAAGGCTGCATAAACGAAACCCAGCACACAGTCTCCACTGTAAGAGTGAAAATAAGATCTAGGCAAACATACAAGCAAAACCAGGGGCCACCTGGCCTCTCTACGTGTAGGGGACTGGAATCCACTCGGAGCGCCAGGCTAGGGCCCAAACCAGGAGCTCCGGAGCAGAAGGCTGTCACGGGTAAGGCAAGGTGACACAACACCTCCACCAGGAGCCCTGCGCGCCGCCCCCGTCCTCCGGAAGCCCAGCTTCCCGGCGGCATCCCCTCCTCCACCACCTTCTCCTCCGGCGCGGCTCGGCTCCAGGCGCCACCGCACGGCCCAGCTCCGGAAGGGGGGCTAGGGGTTGCGCGTCCGGGATCGCTCACCCGCATGCGGGTCGCTGCGCAGTCCTGGGCTGCTCCAGCACCTACAGGCCCGAGGACAGGGTCACGGAGTCCGCAGTCCCGGTGCGGGGGGGGGAGCCGCGGGCCGGGAGCGCCGGGAGGCCGCGCAGTCAGGGCGGGGGAGGGGCAGGCGGCCGGCCGCAGCAGCTGAGACCCGGGCTGCCTGTGCCCGCGCCTGCGCAGAGCGTTCCTCGCCCGGAGCGCGCTTGACGCATGCGTCTGTCCTTCCGTGCTCCAAAGCCGGAAGCCAGTCTGTGGTCGAAAGCCAGTCTGTGGTCCTTGTGGCTTGTGTGGGTTTCGTTTCCTTCCTGTTCCCGGACTTAAAAGGAAGATTTGGCCACCTTTACCTGGATGGCTTAAAGATAGTTACCCCCCCTCCAACCTTTTTTCAGAGGTAAAGAACGTGCCTCTGACTCAGTTCTCAGATGCGCCGGCTGTGCTACCCACGCTGCGGTGCTGACGCTGCGCCTACTCATCTCCTGGGAGTGGGATAAACCGGTCGGTACACTCGCCTCTGGCAGCCTAAAGATAACCCACTTTTAATTTAGAAACACTTGCCCACCAGAAGGAAACTGCAAATGGTTTGGAACCCTGTTTTGTTTGTGTTCAGAGTTTATTTCTTTCATGAGGTGTGGGGGATACCCTTGACAAAGTCTCACCAGGCCATTCTCCCTTCAGCCTCCCAGGCAGCCCTGAGCCACCAGGTTGAGCCAACCCCAGCCTCTTTCTTGCTTGAGCAACCCTGGCTTCCCATGTGGTTCCAGTATGGCATAAGAGTGCTGACTCCCACTAACCAACCACTGTGTACGAGTGTGCCAGAAGAGCCCTCAGTTCAAATCCCAGTGCCTCAACTCTTGAGTTAGGGCTTCTCAACATTTCCAACCCGGGTTAGAAAATACACAGTAACAAGGAAGGAAGTGATAGTAGTTCCTTTTTCTTTTTTGCAGGATCAGCATGTTTTGCAATGGAATATGAAGATACCTAAGAGTAAGAAACACAAGTCTAAACAATATGCAATTTAACATTTACAGTGATTATGGTCATGTGTGAGATAATGAGCCTTCTCATACAGTGTTGGCAAAGGTAAAAACATAAGTTTTCTGTCAGCCAGACAGAATGTGTCAAGATTGTTAAAAATGTTTATATCCTTTGGCCTTGCAAGTTCACCCTGTGGAATTTACCTGAACGTAATGAGAACTCTCAAAAGATGTGTGTACAAAGTTTGTTTAAATAAATGTCCGACAATGGGGCATTGATCAAATCATTATTTTTCAACCCCTTTTATTTAGCCCGTATTTTCCCAAAGTGGGTGAAGTAGTGGCCTCCAGTAACATTGTTTGAAATTTCAAAACAAACAAACAAAAACCACTTGATTAAGACAAATCAGAATCATAGAGGGAAAAAAATTCCCAAATGTATTCTGACAGTCTAACTGTAGAGATCTAACCCTCCTCTTTTTAGACTTACTGGATTACTTACATTATGGAATAGTTATGTAATGAGATCCCATAAAGCCAGTAAAAATCATGTTGTAAAGATGATAATAGTAAAACATTGAGTATAATCAGTATGCAATTAAAAGGATATTAGACTATTAAATGTAAACAATAGTCACATTCAGAGCATATAGATATATGTGTATATTATATACCTACTTTGAAATAGAAAATAAAATGTAAGCAGGCAAAATGTAAACTCTTTAGTTTGAGACTGTGTTTATTTTAGATTGTTAAATTAGCAAATATTTCTATAACTCAGTTGCTTTTTAATGAAAAGAGTGTTACTTAAAAAAAGTTGCTAAGTGAGTACTTAGTATTTTTTCAACCTTACCATTTAACTTAAAACATACTGGTAATACAGCACAGTCCCTATCTAAATTACTGTAATTCACATGGTAGTGAACCTTTCTAGGAGAAACTTTTTGTCAGAAGCAGGTCAATGGTGCAGTTAGAAACAGTCTAAAGGAGGTAGATTGCCTGAGGTGAGCCTGGCCTCACAAAGGTATGTAATACAAAGTCTGTGTTAAGGATGGGACAATGTACTTAGCTTGTTTGTACCTTTTATTTCTGTAAAGTGAAGATAGTAATGGGCCAGTCCCCTGACCTAGTGGTTAAGGGAGCCAGATCCCACATGGCCAGCTTGTTTGACTCCTGGCCCCACTGTCTTGAGGAAAATGCCCCACTGGGGGAGTGCTTTCTCCTTCTCCCTCTCCCTCTCTCCCTGTCTCTCCGTCTCTGTTGAACATATGTGCCCTCTGGCAATTAAAAATAGAGATAGTGGGGCCAGCAGGTAGTATGGCAGCTGAAGTGCTGGACTCCTACAGCTGACCAGGGTTCGAGTCCTGGAACCTAGTAGCTCAAAAATCACTGCAGGCACACGTGTGTGTATGTGTGTCTGTGTGTGTCCGTGTGTGTGTGTGTGTGCATGTCCATGTGTCCCCAAAATCCTGAAAGGAGAATGGAGGAGAAAGGATTGGGGTGGAGCCATAACTCCCAGGGGGTGATTTCTCACTTTCCCTCCTGCTCTTTGTCTCTCTCTCTCTCTGGCAAGTGCATGCACCCTATAGCAACTCCCCCCCCAAGATAAAAAAAAGATAGTAATAATATCTAGGAGCTGACACCTGTAGGTCACTCTAAATATTGAATATTATGACAGATTTTTTTTGTATAATAATGAAATATTTTAAAGACATGTTGAATGGTGCATTTGCTTCTATACTTTGAATTTTAATCATTAAAAGACATTTTGAAAGGAAAATTTTCTCAAAAAGTTTTCAGTTATTTGATAATTATTTCCTGCGTTATTAATTCAGTGTCAGGCTATGTGTTATTAGATAAAAAGGCAGTGATTTTAACAGCACACAGTAATTTGAATAGACCATTCTTCAACAATTTCTGGCTATATTGAACACTGATGTTAAAGGATTGCTCTGTGTTAAATTAAATCTTTTTTTTCTTTTTCCAATTTATTTATTTGCATTCATTCACTGTACATCATTACAGCATACAAAATGAGATTTTCCATCCAGAGTACACTGTATATTGTCTCAATCAAGCACATCAACAAACATGTTATTATTAGCAGATGATCTTCCATTTCTTGTTTTCTGTATGTTTTGCTTTTTTCCCCCCATCCTTGGTTCCCTATCTCTTACCCTCTGCCACCTCCTGTTCTCCTCCCACACTGTCTCTGTTATCTATGTTTGCTTTTTATACCATTTTCCCCCCACATTTTATTGAATCACCAAAGACCCTCATCAATCCAAATACCCTCCTAGCAAACACATGTGACACACACATTTCCATGAGCACAAGTCTAACTTTACGCATCCTATAAAGTAGCACCTAACTGGGGCTACATATCCTACTGCAGTCATTGAATAGATATATTTTTTTTTCTGAAACTTTTTTTTGTAACTCAATTTACATTCCTTCCCTAGGCATCATCACAGCACACAAAATGCGATCTCCCATCCAGTACACACTGCATAGTGACTCATGCACATTACAGAAAAAATAAATTTCCAATTCTAGTTCCTAGAATTATTTCCACCCCTCTTTCTGACCCTCTGTCCCTTCCCACCCTCCTCTCACACCACCTCCGGTGTCCAAAATTGTCCTCCATTCCCTTCCCACCCACATTGCATTGATCACACAATTTCCTACATAACCTGACTACTTTCAAAGGTGAGTTCACTCGTTACTACTAAGAAAACCAGTTTTAATTTAAATCAAAGAACCGCCAAGGAACTTTGCTTAAAGCCCGGAAACAGGTTAGGATTCTGTTCGAATGGTAGGTGCATGAACCTATCAGTCTCATGTACTTTTATCTTCTGTTCTGGTTCAATTTTCCTGATTAAATTCTGGGATATAGTATTCAACTCCAGACTTGTCCCTATGAATCTTGAAACCTTAGACGTGTATCTTGTTTGTTTGCTATCTTTAATTTTCTTTCATGGAAAACCCCCCAAATCATAATAGCAGTCAGCTATATTGCAAAACTTACTTTATTAGAAATTTCCTGTTCAAAATTACAAACAGACAAGTATTTTAAAATTATTTTGTTCTCTTAAGTATTCAGAAGTACATAGTTTATCAGGTGTTTGTATGCAAGTCTCTCACAAAGATTGCTTTCCATCTGTGTGGAACTAATTTCACTAATATGTTCAAATTTTCTTTCCTAAATATAATATTAAGTTAATAATGTCTTAATGTTTATTTCAATCTTTTGTGGGATCTTTGTCATAATCACAGTTTCTAGTGACAATAATTTTAGGGGTTTTGGTAAAGCTTACCAATGAATGAATTTCTTGTGTTAGTTATTATATGAAGAGGTTTACATCATCTTATTTAATTTTTATGCAAACACTATGGATTAGGTTCTGTTTTTATCCCACATATATATTTTTTAAACAAAAGAAATAGAGGATTCAAGATAATATGACTTGGCCATGGACATAGAGTTGGCAATTGATGGAACTGGAACTCAGTTCTGATTGTAAAGCTTCCACTATTAACCACTGTGGCATGAATAGCTGGGAGCTTATATTATCAATTACATTTAATTGAGAGGGTAGATTTTGTCTGAACAGGATGAATTATTTAAACAAGTAGTTCGAAGAAATATTTGAAGAGATATCTGAGAAGTCTACAAAATTGAAGATATCAATATGTTCAAGGTGTTCTCTGAATTTTCAAAAAAAATGAATGGAAAGAAAACTAAACCTAGAGAATAATAACAAGAGAAAATTTTTTAAGAGATTTTGGGTACAATATGCTCACCAGAGAAACAGACATACAGAGAAAGAGAAAGTGAGACATCACCGTTTAGGCAGTATAGCTATGCCAAAAAAACCTTCTCCATTCTCCTCTTGAGATTTTGGATACACATGCATATGTGACCAGCCCCTGATTTTCAAGCTGCTAGATCTGGAACCTGAACCTCAGTCAAGCACGTGGGAGTTGATTATGTGGGAGTCCAGCAACATAACCGCTATGCCATCTGCTGGTCCCCCTGGTCTGTAATTTTATAGGATGCTTTGAGATCTGAAGGACAGGGTATTTGCCTTTACCTTAATGTATACTGGGTCTACCTTGTTCAGGTTTCCTGTTCATCCAAATGTCCAAAGGAACTTGTTCTGTGACTTCTGGTAGGACGATCCTTTCAAAACAATTAGAATTCAATAAGACTGCTGGAAAGAGGCAGTCATGTTCAGAACGGACCAAACACTAACTTTGTGAGGTGAAAAGGTTATCCACATGTTTAATTTTGTTAATATGTTACAGCACAGGAGGAATGAGCATTCTGGCATATATAAAAAAAACCCAAAAAACAAAAAACAAAAAACAACTGTGTTTCAGGCTGGTCCTGTAGCTTGGTGGTTAAGGGAGCTGGATCTCACATGGCTGACCATATAGTTTGAGTCCTGGACTCATGGCTTGAGAAACATGGCAGGCATTGTGTATGCATGCCCAAAGTTCTAACAGGATGGGGGAATGTAGGAGAAGAGTTTGCAGCGTGACCATGCCCCATTGGAGGATTCTTTCTCCCTTCTCTCTTCTGCTCCCTTTGTTTTCTCTGGACAGCCCATGTGTGCTCTGGCAAAAAGTAAACCAAGAGCAACAACAACAAAAAAACTGTTTCAGCAAGGTGTCAACATGTTCACAGTCCAAATGTTGTAAGGCCTCTCTTGAGACCCCATTTACCAGTCAAGTCACTAGTTATGACTGAGATTGTGTGACTCCTCTGTCCATAAGACCACTAATCAACTTTTCTCTCACCTGTATTTCTACCTGTGTGAACTTTAAAGTACCTTGTTGTGTCTATGTGTTTTTTTCACTCATCGCACTATTTACACAATGCTGCTCTGTGAAATAAAGGAATGACTTGTTGGTTTTGTTGGTAATGTTCATATTACAAATTTGAAATTACTTTATGAAAACTGGATTAAAATAAAGAAGATCAGTCATAAATGGGATTTGATGCTT